GAGTGTGGTGGTAGAAGCCTGTTGGGAGGATCATTTGAGCCCAGGAGTTTGAGGAAGCTATGCTCGTACCACTTGTACTCCAAGACATCAATAAAAAAAAAAAAAATAATAAAAATGAAATAAAGAAAGAAAGAAAAAAAAAAACCACCTTTCAGTTTATGGAATTAAGCATATTAAAAGCCGGGGCCTAGTAAGTACTACATTGATCAAGTGCAAAGGTGAGTTTTTAATATGAATAAAGGGGTCTTACAAGTCAATTAATTCAAGAGGCTATAAAACACATTTTTTTAAAAAAGTTTAGATTATTTTTCATATAAACAAAAAGCTCCAATCACCCACTGACAATACCCCAATCATCCAACAGCCCATCAATGCAGAGTCTGCTGCAATTCTCTGGAAATTTTCATATTCTTCCAGAAAAAGTGCTCAATTTTCATTGCCAAGGTTCTTGGTAGATTCACTTTTCACTAGGAAAAAATAAGTAAACATACAGTCAAGTGTTTATACTGTTTCTGTTTAGCTTGCTCTGTCTCTCTTCTCTCCCTCCTTCTGATGCACAGCAACAGCACTACTCACAGGGACACACAAACCACATTATGTCCCAGGCAGCTAGGATATACAATTCTGGCCACAATAAATAGAGAAATGATGTCTGAAAGTGGCAATTATATTTTGTGAGGTAACATCCTTCCTGACTCTGTGGAAGATTTGGGAATGGTCACTTCACAATGTGGTTATGATCCATATTCATGCCATTGAATAGATCACTATTATCCAGGCTGGCCATTTGTGGTTGGAATAAATTTTTCCATGACTTTTTTTTTAAACTTAAATTGAAGGTCAGTATATGTTGAGTCAATGTGGAGTGACAGAAGACTAGCTAATCGCCATCTCCTTCCTTTCACAGGAAAGAAGACTCAGAGTAGAAATGGAGATTCTTTGACACCCCTGTCTTGCTTAGAGCAAGCAAGACTATGACTCACTCACTAAACTGAGTTCCTGGAGGACAGAAACTAGACGTTTCTTCTCTGTATCTATCCTCACAATGTAGATCATGTTTGCTGAATCAAGGTAAATGCACGTCATTCTGTCTTTTACTTTTTCCCCTGAATCTCCAAAATGGGAACCAAAGTGTTCCATTTCATTGTATTATGATGCTAAAAGGAAATAATAGGTAGTAACTCTTTAAAAATTGTCCTGGTAAAATATAGGTTATTTTGAGGCTTATGGCTGTTGTCTCCATTGAGTAGATAAGAAAAATAAAACTCAGAGAGGCAAAGTAAATGCACAAGGACTCATAGGTTATAAAAGCTGATGCTAGAAGCATACACCTGGAACTCTGCCTCATATTCCAACTGACAAGTTCCCTGGGGTTTGCTGTTGAATCTAGACTTCAGACTGTACCAGAAACCACAATAGTGTTTACTGAGTACTTTTCATGAGTAAGGTGCTGAAATAAGTTCCATCCAAGATATCGTCCCAATCTTTGTGAAATTTTATTAACACTAGCAGTCCATCCAGTTCCTCCAAGATATTAGAAGTTTTTTCCTCCTCTGGCTGTCTCTGTACTTCAGGCAAACTCTATTATAGCATCTATTGTATAGTAAATTTTACATGTGTGTTCCAGTGACTAAAATCCTTCCCTCTCTCCCTGCAAAAGGAAAAGAAAGAAAAGAGAGGTAAGGAATAATGAGGAAAGGTGAGTGAGGGAGAATGGATGAAAGATTTACTGGCCCAGTAAGAGACTGATATATGAGTAGCTGCTGTGCCGGGTATTGTCACTAATCAAGTAATCAATTTTGGGTTGGATTCCTTCTCTAAAGGCTGAGGCATTTTCTAATTTTGAGTTATACTAGAACATCGAAAAGTGTATTTTGCTGACATTTATAAATTAATGGGAATTTGTAGCAGTATGGAGGGCACTTTCCCCTTTCTTTGCCTATTGAAGGTGCCCAGTTTTCTTCTTTGAATTAGGGATCCATTCTTTTTTCCTTAGATTGAAATGCAGCATGCTTTTATCAATCATTTAAATCTGCTAGTCTAACTTTGGCTAACAACAGCCTGTGAAGCAAGTTACACCATTCTGAGCACTTCCTATTGGATTGATAAAAGGTAGGTATTCAGAACTCAGCATCTCCAATCTAGTGGACTATCTTAACTGCTCATCCTTTTCCAGTTAACCTTTTCCATTCCTAAAAAAGCAACAAACAAACAAAATTTTGGCTATTGTTGATTAATATAGGCAGAGTTAAAAAAAATTGTGGCAATCTACAATCATAACAAATACTGTAACAACCATCAGGTGTTGGAACTACTGAGTCCCAGCCCAGAAACATATTTACCCCCAAATTAGGAAAGAGACAACTTGTACTATGAACTTAGGATCGAAATCCAAATTTTTTACCTCCAGAGAGAGAAGGAATTTCAAGACTTTCCAAAGAAAATGCCCTCTTCTTACATAATCCCCTTCCCTCATCAAGGGATCACCCTGCAGAATATCTAATGCTGTGAGAATGTATAAACAGACACCTTAAAGTACTTACAGAAAGAAATGCAGATACAGGAAGACCTGGGCATTGCTTTTAAGGTATGTGTACTTATGATATGACAAAACTGGTATGGTTTTAAAATCCTGTCAGATACTTTTGTTTTTTTGCTAACACAGTTCTAAATAATCCTCTGTACTAAAAGCATGAGTCATTTGTGTTCTGTAAATAAGTCAAACATCATATACCCACCAGAAAAATAGCAAATTTTATTCAGTAAGGCTCCCAGTACACTAGTAGTCTTTTCTGATTGCTTCATTACAGGAAGCCTTCCTTAAATGTACATTCCTAAACAAGGTGAAAGGAGAGCTGTGTATGCTGTTTATTTACACAGATGATATTTGCCCTAGCTACTAACCTACATCACTAAACAATTTTTCTTGAAACCAGCATTTGAGAGAGCACTGTGTGAATTTATTAAGAAAAAAGAAAAATAATACAAAGCTTAAACAAAGTGAAACTGCCATTTAAAACTAAAATTCCTAATTTACTTTGAGAAAATTATATAGAATATTCTCAAATTGTAAAAAATATTAATGTCGCCGGGCGCGGTGGCTCACGCCTGTAATCCCAGCACTTTGGGAGGCCGAGGCGGGTGGATCACGAGGTCAAGAGATCGAGACCATCCTGGTCAACATGGTGAAACCCCGTCTCTACTAAAACTACAAAAAATTAGCTGGGCATGGTGGCGCGTGCCTGTAATCCCAGCTACTCAGGAGGCTGAGGCAGGAGAATTGCCTGAACCCAGGAGGCGGAGGTTGCGGTGAGCCGAGATCGCGCCATCGCACTCCAGCCTGGGTAACAAGAGCGAAACTCCGTCTCAAAAAAAAAAAAAAAAAAATATTAATGTCATGAAGAAAAATGTGATTTGGAGGTCCATAATTTATTATTAGAAACACCATGTTTTCCAACTAAAATCTACTTTCAAGTTGTAGCACTGATAAAATTTTGACCACTTTGAAAAACATTTTTTTCCATTAAGTTTTGCACAGAAAAAACACTATGCGCAACAACAGATAAAACATTACAACATAGGTTACTGCATCTTACACCCTAATGGTGGTATAACAATAAAACTTAAAGCACACATTTCAAATACTACTTAAAGAATAGTTTATCAACAGGCAACAACTTGAGAGAGAGAGAAAAAAAGAATAGAGTACAATTCAAGACAAAGATTCTATGTTCCTCTGGAGTTTGTTACAACAAAACTGGGCCTGTATCTATAATTCCTGTAGTTGAAAGTGCTATATAATAGTTTTGGGTTAAGGTGAGTAATTTTCTTCACTTTTTAAAGGTAGTCACTAAATTTTACTCATCCTCTAAAATCTTGAATTCAGAAATACAATTAGTTTACTTCAGTCAGAAGTTACAACTATAGTTAAGTAATTTTATGGATTAAACTTTTATGTACATTTTTTCCAGTTCTAGTACTTCCCTGTATCATAAAATCAGAGAAACAAAAGCAGAGAAAATAAAACCAGTGGGTTTAGAAAGGGAGAGAAATGGTAAAGGCAATGATATTAGCTTAGTCTAAATGCTGCCAAATTTTTAAATATAATGTTCCTTGCAACATTATCTCTTTCTATAAGGTAGAATACTAGCTTTTTTTTTTTAAACCATTCAACATTTTTATTGTCAGCTAAAAATGTTTTGTAATCCCTCATTTTAGAAATGTCTGAAGTCTTAACTATGGAGTAAATTTATGTAATCATGGACAGTTACTTAAAGACTATTAGCTTAAAAAGAGACAAAAATACACAGAACTCCAGGCCAAAAAAAAATCCTTTCTTAGTCATTCAATTTGATTCATTCACTTAAAATTGGTTTTAAAAGATTATATGCTCATAAAAACAGAAAAAGAGCAGCATCTCATTTACTTAGTTTTTCACATTAACTGTAGCTATAGAGTAGATCTTGTAAGTGTGTAAATATAGTGGAAAAACATGTATAAAGAAATAAGGGTGGACACATTTTGCTTTGGTTTCTCTAAAGCTATTCTAAGCATTATAGGAACAAATTTACACTTACCTTGGTGAAGAACTTTCATGTCATTATTGGATCCTTTCAATACCACATGTAATGTTGGATACTCAATGATCACTTTGTTCCTCAAATTGTCTAGGAGACTTTTATAAGGATCTAGTTCATAATATCTTATTAATAAAAAACAAAAACAAAAAAATAGGAAATACCCTTAACATTCAAAATTACTAATAAATACATGAGAGTCCTTTACATTAAAAATTTTTAAGAGGTGATGACAATTCAGTAGTTATTTCCTTATAGTATAAGTTTAATACCTTCTAAGAAAGGCAGGTACAGAGCTATTATTATAGAGGCTCTAAAACTAAATTTAAAAAAATCAAATATTCTGACATTAGGAAAGCTCTAGAACAAGCTACCAATTTCCATACCAAGTAAAAAATAAAGACTTTAATATAATATTTATGTTATTTTTCTTGAATAAAAGGATGACTAACAATTCAAATTCCTCAAATATATTTATTTTGAGTCTTAAAGACAACCAATTATCTTATGATAATTTCCAGTAACATGGCAATAAAATAACTGATTATGAAATTGGCTTTTGTAAAAACTCAATTATTCTAACTAGTTTCCAGAAATTTATATTGCCATATAAAATTTAAGAAACACAGAGTTTATCATGACATAGCTGCCAAATGTGTCACAGGTAATTACCTGCTAATATTCATTAAAGTATGAAATTCTCAAATCATTATTTTAAAAAAATAAGTTTGAGGTGACTGAATATGCATCTCCAGAACACTCATTTTTCCTTGCTTTCTGGGGTGGGAGCGAAAGGGATAGAATTCTAGCTAGCTCACTAGCAGGTACATATGAGAATATGTTGGCATGTTAATGTCATTTCATGCCAAAGAAGAAAAAGCTGAGAACATGTCCATCAGTGTAGTGCAGTGTTCTCTCCAGCATTTTTATTCATCTCTACCAATGACAGATGATATTCACATGTAAAATATATATCACATGAGATATCCAGACTAACAGCTATAACTCCATCCTTTTATCTCCTGTTCAAAAAAGGACACTGGAACACAACTGATCAAGAGTGAGGCTACCACCGGGATGCATTTAAGTTTGCTGTAATTTTGAGTGAATCACTAACAAACTTTGGTATTTCTTAATTAGTAATAAATTATCTGCACCATCATAGCTGTCTAAGACATGCAGGACACTTATTAAGAAATCTGATGTAGGGATTTCTTCATGTTCTGAGTTTGTCTCATGCAATCGTTTTCAAATCAGGAAAAATAAAAGTGCTTAACAAAACACAGAGCCAAGCTTAACAACATGAAAGAACAACTGTAAAACCAAAACTTTACTTATGCTTCCCTGACCACATGTCCCAGCCTGGAATTATTCATTTTAGAATTGGAGAATATTCTTTATGTTGAAAGGAAACTTGAAATGCAAAATACTGTTTTTCTAAACCAGCCACCTTAGTGCCCACAGATCATAGAATTCATACATTCTTCTCCCTGTGTGTAATGTAATACAGATGTGCTTACAATACTTTAAAAGTGTTTCCAGCATTTAAGGATTAAATGCTTCACATCTTTTAAACATTATGTTTCTTTGAAATAAGCAGTATTTTTTAAAAGTTAGTAGTAATTATATAAAAAAGAAAAATGAGATTGTATCAGATACCCAAGTATAGGATTAACTTACAAAGAAAAATATAAAATGGGATAACTAATTTTTCTTGGGCGGAAACAAGACTTGGACTCTCAAAACAGGAATTTTTCAAGTCACATCCTACAAACACTTGGAATAATTTATTTTCTGTGGATTTTAACTAAATCATAAGGCTTCTATTCAAAGGCATTTTTCAAATAAGGGATTTTTTTTTTTTTTACTTGTTTCAGTTTTTGGTAAATAATTTTCAGTGTACACTTATTGTTTTAGGTGTCTTATTTCTTTTTGTAATATTAAATTTTAATTGAGTTTCTCTAGATTTCCAAAGTTGAAACCAAGAAGCATCGAAAAGAGTTCTTCAAAAGCCACATGGGAATCAGAGCCTAAAATTACTGCTGATATAAAATATGATCCTAGCAGAGGAATGTTCAGAGATGCATAAAAATTACTATGCAACAAGTTATACATGCTTTGGATCCTAAAACTATAATGATTATACTTGTTTACTTAAAAAAACTTGGTTTCTGTTTTACATGCTAAGCAGGCACTGTGCAAAGCACTAAGGATGCAAAAATTTATAAGAGCCTCGTCAACTAATAAATTATTTTAAAAATATTTTATGCAATGAAAATCTGGTATGTTGTGCGGTTTTGATTAGAATCAGTGGATTTTAGTGTTTAGCCTAAAATGTTGCAAACTTCTAGTCAGCAGTATGCTAATCAGTAAGCTTCTGGGCCACAGCTTTCCAGCCTGTTAAATGAAGCAATAAGATTTCACTAAATAATCTTTTAGCTCAAATTCTGAATTTCTTAGATTTTTCTACTACTAATGGTTACTGTTAGTCTACCACTAATATTTATCAGTAAATTAAAAGTAATTTTTAAACTGTTCATAAAGAAAGCTTATCAGACACATATGGGGTTAACATTTTATGGACTTAGAATTTAGTTAAATGAAGCAATAACTTTTAGTGGTTGTTTGGGTTTGCAGTTTAACTCTGAGTTAAAGTCCTGGCTCCATCATTCACTGGTCTGTGATACTGGACTAGTTACTTAACTTATTTAATCCTCAGTTTCCATGCTTGAAAATGGGGATAATCACAGTATCGCTTCAGAGAGTTACTGTGAGGGCTAAATGAGAAAACATAGAAACTGCTCACTCATTTATTTAAGCCCTAGGCACATGTGTTTTATATTTTTATTTACCAAAAATAACAGCACTTTCCTATAGAAACTTTAGTTCAGGACAAAGTCAATGAATTTCATTAGCAGTGAACATACTGCCTTTACATGCATTTTGCATTTTAATTGCAGCCTTACAACTTTCAGTTTGACCTTTCAACTCATTATTTTATTGTCACATTTACTTCCAAGAAGATAAAAGTACTTTGAATGTTTCTGCTTCCATTATCTTAAGGTAAGTTTTAAGAGTCCAGCTTTGAACTGCCTAAAACATTTAGGTTTAGCTCCTTTGCAAGCCATTAAGCTACTGAATCCTAAGGGACAGCTTTATCTTTTTGAAATTTTCACCAACTCTGGTATTTCCATTAGTATAATGGCTCTGCTACCATAAGACAAACTACTTAGGTTTGGAGGAATTAAGATACTAACATTTGTCTTTTCTCCTGCCCTCTGGGACCCTTCTTACACATTTCCTCTTGTTATTTCACTTGCTCACCCTCACAGGATCACTGGCTGACCCTGCTCTGGGCAGCCTCATGGGGGCATTATGAGGGCAGAATGGATCAGTGGGCTAAACAGGTGTTACAGTTACATTATATAAATAAAAGTTGTCATGAAAATCAAGTTGTCGTGCTTTTAATCTTGACTCTGTCACTAACTTTCAAAAAAGCTGCCCAAGTTCTCGAACTTCTTTCTCTGTACTTTATTAGCAAATTAGTGTGCTTTTTTTTTTTTTTTTTTTTTTTTTTTTTTTATATTTTTTTTTTTTGTTTTTTTTTTTTTTTTTTTTTTTTTTTTTTTTTAAAAAAACCTCCTTATAACTCGAAAAGACAAGTTTTTAAAGAAAGGAAGTCACAAACCACTTTACGTCCCATCTGACCACTGACACTTCATGGATCATCTCCCCTTCTATCTCCTAAAAAATATCAAAACTAAGTTTGAATTTCTCCAAATTTAACCATCTAGTAGCAGTCCCTAGGCCACAGTATTTTTCCACTAAAATAAGATCACTGAATTAGGTGATCACCAACATCCCTTCAGCTCTAAATTTCTACTATATTTGATGCTTATCTACTAAAGGTAACACTTAACCTATATTTTTGCATAGTTTGTATTTATTTCTCAATCTAGGTTAAAAGTTCAACTAAACGATTCCAAGAAAGTTTTAATTCTTTTATTTAAATTTTAAAAAGGTATTATTTAAAATTTCTCCAAATAATACTTATTTGTAACAATTTTTGGAAATCATAATGTTCAAGTCACATAGAAAAAGATTTTGTCAAAGTTAATCTTTTTCTCACCCAATCTCTCAGTTTTCACATTTTAAAAATCACAGTAGTTAAATTAGTTTTGGAATTTTTATGTATCCATGTAAATTAGGATGCTCCCTGCTCATGGCTCACGTATAGTCCTCATTTACATGAGGCATAGATCATGAGTTGTGTAGTACATACATATACCTTAATTCAGAAAGTTCACCAGTTCAGAACTGCACTCAGTAAATTATCCTATTCTAACCATGATATTTAAACTATGGATGTGGTAAAATAAAATGGCCAGCTATATATTTAAAAACCTGTTTTAAAGAGGGGCTTACAAGGCTCTGACTTGTTCTAGATGTTATTTCTTTGAAATCTTTTCTGACTTTCGCTGGTAAATTCATTACTTTAAATCCAAAAGGCTTGATTTCAAGTCTTATCACTGGTCCTCATGAGCTATGACTCCACAAGGAGACTTAGTTTTCTCATCAATATAATGGTAGGAAAGATACCTAACTCATGGGCTTTTTAAGGACTATAACAGATGAAAATGTTTCCCAAGTGTAACTTGCTAAGCTAGCATCAGTAATAAGATTTTATACTCCAAAAGTAACTTGGCACCCCTAGCAAGGAAATGACATACTTATTAGCAGTTATATTTATGATTTATGACAGAGACAGAGACTAGTTACTAGAAAAAGCATGAACTGAACTCTATTAACAAACAGGCCTAAGTCCAAATCCCAGCCTTATAAATTGTACAAATCTAGTTTCTTTGGGTAAGTCAATTTTTCAGAGCCTAAGACTCCTAATCAGGTAAAGCAGAGAAGACACAGTACATACTTTATTAGAATTAATGCATGCGAAAACGTTGTAAACATTAGCCTGGCATTTACTCCTCAATTGATTCCTCAAATATTTACTTAGTGCCTACTACGCACAGGTAGTCTGCTAGGTAACGGAAGTTCATAGAAATAAACCTGACACTTTATGGGGGGAGGCAGACAAACAACTATTGCATTTCACTGGCACAAAAAA